TTGACAGGCTTCATCTTAACTATGTAAATTACTTGCTAAAGCTCATCTCTGAGTATCTGCACATTTAAACAAAAATTAAAAAAAAAAAAAAAAAACTGAAACATGGACAAAATTGTAACCAAGAAAAGAGATTTAGCACCCATCTTATGAAAAAGCACAACAATTGATACTTGCCTGCGAGGCTGCTTATTTGGGTTATTTTGTCGTTGCCCAAACTCATCATTTGTAAGCTCTGCCAAGTAAATTAATTTATATAAAAAGACAGAACAGATTAAAACATAGTATGTTCAGGAAGTGCAGATATTTAAGTGCACAGGGGAGGCAAAATCATGTCTTACCAGGTTTCTGGGAAGCCTTCCACTCGTTATTTGATTTGTTTAAGTTACTTTCTTTGCTGCAGAGGGATATAAGTAGCCAATATCAGAATGATTATGCCATAGAAACAACTAATTCTGCAACCAGCAATGCAAATCCTAAATCCAGACAACTCAAATAACTTATGACTAAAATGAAGAAACCTTACAGAGAAACACCTCTCCTCTTACGTTCTTTCGAAATAATGGAAAAGGTAACTCAAGGCCACTAACACCCGTTTTTAAACAAAATAAATGCATCAAACAATGTAAAAATAGAATATTTATACATGAGTTTATATATATATATATTTATAAAAGGATATTTCTACACAAACAAGATAGATACCATGAAGACTCAAACATTATCAGATAAATTGATTGGGTTTCGATCCAATCATAGGACAGGAAATACAGTCTAGAAAGAAACAAAGAACAGTGCACACCTAAAAGACACTCAACTAAACCATGCCATGATCTAAATAATGGTGCCAATTTTAAGGTCTATCACAGCAGTTTGTATTTCCTACTCTGCTACAGTTCACCTTGAAAAGAAAGAAAAAACAATTACAACTTTATAAGGTCAATTTAAAGCAAGCAAGTGGACACAAGCAACCATTAAACTTACCTTGACGATCCCATTGAAGATGTTGGTCCTGATGGGCGAGCATTATAAGCCCCATCAACAGCAATATAAGGTGAACAATATGTTGCCCCTAAAGCCCCAGCAGCACCTGTCAGTAGTGGCAGCCTAAACATCATGAAATGATCACCATCAATACTTTTGGGTTTAAGTAAATAAATAAGTATAAATACAAAAAGAAATTAAACAAAAATGATCTTTTTGAAAATCATCTGAAGAAAAATAAACACCCAGCTTCAAGCATTTACCAGCCTTCGTATCCATACAGTAAAAACTCTAAGAACTCATAGCAGCCACTTGGGGGTATCAACTTCCCCAAAAGTAAAATATAGGAAGTTTATGTCGCTCATTCATAACAAGTAATGCATACCAATAAAACCAAGAC